CACAGAGAGAGGGAGGGTGGGAGGGAGAGGGAAGGCGGGAGAGACAGACAGGGAGAGGGACAGAGAGAGAGAGATAGACAGAAACAGAGGGAGGGAGGATGGGAGAGGACGCAGTAAGAGGGACAAAGAGAGAGAGAGTCAGACAGAGAGGGACGGCGGGAGAAGAGACAGGAGAGACAGACAGACACAGAGAGAGGGAGGGTGGGAGGGAGAGGGAAGGCGGGAGAGACAGACAGGGAGAGGGACAGAGAGAGAGAGAGAGAGAGAGACAAAAACAGGGAGGGAGGATGGGAGAGGACGCAGGAAGAGGGACAAAGAGAGAGAGAGTCAGACAGAGAGGGACGGCGGGAGAAGAGACAGGAGAGACAGACAGACACAGAGAGAGGGAGGGTGGGAGGGAGAGGGAAGGCGGGAGAGACAGACAGGGAGAGGGACAGAGAGAGAGAGAGAGACAGACAGACAGAAAGAGAGAGAGGGAAGGCGGGAGAGGAGGCAGGGAGAGAGACAGACAGACAGACACAGAGAGAGGGAGGGCGGGCGGGTGGGAGGGAGCGGGAGAGAGAATAAGAGATGTCCTGAGTCTTAGCGTGACCAGTAGTTCATTTCTTCAGTAAAGGGCTTTTCTTTATCTGTAATAGAAGTATCTTATCAGAGGTATTGAATTGTGTCCTTCAATCTCTGGCTAGGAGTCTTCCAGTGTATATCAGCCTGGCAAATGTCCAAAAACATCTTGGATGAGAGCAGTGCTTATCCTTTTGAGAATAGGAAGTTAGGGATTAAAGGATTCCATCAGAATCTACACTCATCTATTCACAGGGCCATTGTTCTCACTTCCGACTTCTCCTTGGCCTCAGGCCAACTGTGCAGGTTTGTTGGGGTAATAAAATTGGGCTTGGGTAGGTAGACAGAATCACTGAGCCTTTTGAAAGATAGTCCTCAGCTTATAACAGCAATTGGGTGCTAAACCACAAGGTTACGCGTTGAACGTGTCACTTAGCGACAGCAATTCCAGCAGTCCTCATTGCAGTGGTTGAATGAGGACTGTACAGGTTGCTAAACAAGGATTTCACTTGACAGCAGCTTTCAACTTCCTGCTGGCTTCCCCAATGACTTTGCTTGTGGGAAAGGGTCAAGGAAGGTCTGAAATTAGAACCATGTGACTGTGGCTTGCTGCAACACCATAATCACAAGCCAGATGCCTGGATCACAATCACATCACCATGAGGATGCTGCAACAGAGAGAATGATGAGGACTAATCATATGTACCATTCATTTAGTGCTCTTGTAATTTTGAACAGTTGCTGAATGAATGGTCATAACCGAAGGACTATGCGTATATTTGAGAGGAAAACTATTATATCAGAATACATTGCTTACCGTATTTTTCGGACTATAGTGCATAAGACGCACCAAGATTTCGAAGAGGTAAGTAAGCAAAAAAAGTTTTTGCCTTCCCGCAGCCCTGCTGAAGCCTGCAGAGTGGTGCTGGGGGCTTAGGGAAGGCAAAAAAAGCCTCCGCTTTTGTGAAAAATAGGCCGTTTTTCACAAAAATGGGATGTGGGGGCAGGGCTTCGGGAGGTCATAAATGGCTGTATTCGGTGTATAAGACGCACCAACATTTCCACACTCTTTTAGGGGGAAAATGATGTGTCTTATACTCCGAAAAATACGGTACTATTAAAGTTGATAATAAAAGGTAACTAATTCATGTATGTATGTGTGTGTGTGTGTGTGTGTGTGTGTGTGTGTGTGTGTTTTCATAGATTTTCACGGGTGTAGGTATGCTGGTATTTAGGTCTTTTCCCATGTAAGATTAACAATCTTGTAACAATCTCACACGATAAAAGACCCAAATACAACAAGACCAGCATATCTATGTTTGTGTGTACATATATGTACATACACACACACAAACACACACAAACACACTACATATATATTCTGATTCTGAATCTATTCTCTTTCCCCATCCAGGCACAAAATTGATAATAAAAAGTAACTAATTCCTTCTGAATGCATCAAACACTTTAATGAGCCACGGTGGCGCAGTGGTTAGAGTGCAGTACTGCAGGCTACTTCTACTGACTGCAGGCTGATTGCAACTTGGCAGTTTGAATCGCACCAGGCTCAAGGTTGACTCAGCCTTCCATCCTTCCTTCAATAAAATGAGGACCCAAAATTATTGGGAGCAATATATGCTGACTCTGTAAACCTATGCTTAGAGAGGGCTGTAAAGCACTATAAAGCAGTATATAAGTGCTATTGCTATTGCTAAAACCCAGATTAACCTGTTGCCAAAGAAAACAAGAATGACTCTTTGTGAATTTAAAGAAGGATAAATGATTTTTGGAAAACGTCAGGGGCCAAAACAATCTTCCTACTTGTCTTCTTGGTCTCCAGAACCCCACGGTAGAGTTCACGCGATCCAAAGTCCTGAAAAAAGACTTAGCCAGTGACGAACAGAGCTACAAAAAGGACCCACCCCTATTAATTTCTCCCTACCTGAGTCTTGACGTGTTGATCCGGCGCAGTCACCAAACTGGCGCAACTCAGCCAGAGCATCACCATGATGGAAAGGAAAAGACAAGCAGCCAGAATCCAGCGGGGCAGCCCCGAACGCCTGTAACACCCACAAGCAGCCACCCCACCCGCCAAAGAGAGGCCACAAGGTTACCATGGAGGGATGGAGAGGGGGCTTCAAAGTATCCACATATACATGCGTAGAGACACGTTTGCTAGCAATTAAGATATTGGCCTAGAACTCAGGAGTCGGTGAGTTTTAGTCCCGCCTTATGCACAAAAGTTGGCTGGGTGACTTTGGGCCAATCACCAGGACTCGGTGAGTTCTAGTCCCGCCTTATGCACAAAAGTTAGCTGGGTGACTTTGGGCCAATCACCAGGAGTCGGTGAGTTTTAGTCCCGCCTTATGCGCAAAAGTTGGCTGGGTGACTTTGGGCCAGAGAGTCAAGGTTTCTCCAAAGCACCTGAAGGTAGGATAAGAAGCAATGGGCGGAAACTAATCAAGGAGAGAAGCAACTTAGAACTGAGGAGAAATTTCCTGACAGTTAGAACGATTAACCAGCGGAACAACTTGCTTCTAGAAGTTGTGAATGCCCCAACACTGGACGTATTTAAGAAGATGTTGGATATCCATTTGTCTGAAATGATGTAGGGTTTCCTACCTAAGCAGGGGGTTGGACTAGAAGACCTCCAAGGTCCCTTCCAATTCTGTTATTCTATTCTATTCTATTCTATTATCACCAGGAAACGGTGAATTCTAGCCCTGCCTTATGCACAAAAGTTGGCTGGGTTGACTTTGTGCCAAATCAGTGGTGAGCGTACCGGAGCCTGCCCAGATCACCTGGTACCGTTTCTGTATGGTGCTCTGGAGTTCCTGCCCACGCTCCTTACCTGTCTTTAAACTCTTTGGCGCTTCTGCGCATGCGCACAGCACGTACAGCGCCTTCGTGATGCTCCGCTGAGCAGCGTGAGCATTGCGAAGGCTCGCGGAGGCGCCGCTGGACGGTAAGACACATGCGTATGTGCGCACGTTCATGTGGAGGACGCTGGGATCTGTAACCCACCACTGGGCCAAACACTCTCTCAGTCCAACCCTCCTCACAGGGTTGTTGTTATGGGGAAAATAGGAGGAAGGTGTATTAGGGATATTCACTGCCTTTATTTATGAAGTTATAAAGGCCAATAAAATTTCAATAGATCTATACATGGGTGACCATTTTTGCCCTATTTCTGAGTGCTGATTAGCGGTTGATTTCTAACTTGTACTTCTGCCAATGTTTCATTCTTTATTGTCTAACACTTCACAGAGCTCGTATTGTTGAATTGGGGATCTGACCAGGGATGATCAGAAAAGTGAAGATGGGGATGGCAACAGCGGAATCGAAGCTCGGCCTGTTTTTTTTTAATCTGCGCTGATGCATATTAAAAAAATACAGATGGAGCTTCTGTTCCATCGTCAGGGCTATCCACTTGAGGTTTTAATTTTTTTAAAGAAAATATTTCTCAGCAGGACTACAAAAGATGAACTAAATTACAACCCATAAAGAAACAATGAAAATAAAATGAATGAATAAATGGGGAAAAAATCAAACAGAAAAAGAAAGAAAAAACCACAAAAGGGAGAAATTACTGGTGTCAGTCCTTCAGTATAGACCAGGGTTCTGCAAAGTTGTCCCCTTTAAGACGGGTGGACTTCAACTCCCAGAATTCCCCAGCCAGTCTGGCTGGGGAATTCTGGGAGTTGAAGTCCACCCGTCTTAAAGGGGACAACCTTGCAGACCCCCTGATATAGACTAAGCTAGAAAACCAAAGTCCTGCCGGACAATATTGCTTTTATTTTAAAGTTATGGGACAGGTAGTCGTTGACTTACAAGTATTCATTCAGTGACCATTCAAAGTTACAATGGCACTGAAAAAAAGTGACTTATGACCACTTTTCTTACTTACGACCATGTTCTGACCGAGGCTTCCCAAGAGCATGAAACAAACTCCTTGTCCCGGCAAAAAACTTAATTGACTGTGAATTCTGCTCATTCACATCCAGCAAAGTCTTTCAAGGGAGGATTTACGGTCACAGACCTTATCTGGCTTGGAGAGATGTCAGGCCAATATGTACAAAATTTGGCAAGGAGTCTCGGAGAGTCACAAACCAATGAAGCGAACTAATTGTCTCCTGCAAACTCCACTCCCCTTTCACTCCTCTTTTATTTCCTCTGGGAAGGGCCATTCATTGTCTGGCCTTACTCCCAAGTCGACCCCTGTTCTTTAGCTGTTCCCTTCGTCTGGCAACTCTGCGCATGGGCACACTGGGAACAGGTTCTTCTGCCTCACTGATGTCTGACTCTGAAGGCAGCTG